TCTGTCTCATCAGGATCAGTCACATCAGGATCTGTCTCATCAGGATCTGTCTCATCAGGATCTGTCTCATCGGGGTCTGTCTCGTCAGGATCAGTCACATCAGGGTCTGTTTCATCAGGATCCGTCTCGTCAGGATCTGTCTCATCGGGATCAGTCTCATCAGGATCTGGTTCTACGGGATCTGGATCTACGGGAGGCCTTTTGCTAGGGCAGGTTTCAATATGACTTTCTGTTGGTTTCTTACATTCAGCACCTCGGCATACGTAGCATCTTAACGCCTCGGCTATGGGTAATATAATGTTTAATTAATAAAGTATAAATTAAATAAATAAATTAAAGGATCCCGCTTATTATTATACAACTAAATAAAATTACCCACTTTTAAATTGTTTTTATTATTTGTAACAAATAATCAACAGAATAAGGGCCACCCGTTAAGTTCCATTATAAACAAGCATTACTTTTGTTTCGTTCATTCATAACAATTTGTAAATGTTATGTTACGGGTTCGTTCAAGTGTCGGTAACATTTCTAATGACAAATGGTATCAAGTGGGTATCCATAACTTTTTTATCGGGATTCTAGAAGTTACTTGAAATTTACGCTTTTAAGTTATCTAATTTTTAGCTTTGAATCAGTGTTCCTTCAACTTGTTGTGCAAACAGTTTATAAACTGCTCGCTTTTTAAATCACATAATACCACGCTTTTGGAGACAAATGCACGCAAATACAGCCACTATGGTTGTCACCTTGCTCCAGGAGGGTCACCGTCAGTTAATGGTGGGATATTTGCGAGCGGTTGAAAATGTTTGGAATCGGTTCCAGGAGACGGGCAATGTCACCAAATGTCGTGGCTCTGAAAGAATGCGGGTTACTCCAGCTCAAGAAGAGCGGTACATTCGTATAGTTATAGATTTGTATTTGTACTCGCGTCAAAGAACACATAACTGATCTCAAACACCGTCGCGTAAACAAGTCTGCAGTCTGAGAGCATGTCATCGATAAACCTACACAGGTCCTTGCAAACGAAGTCCGTTATCTACCCAGGATGCTGCGAGAGGCCATTGAAATTAAAAAACATCCTGATTTCAACAGATCTTCCCTGGTTTCTCCGTTTCAACAGTTTGGGATCCAGTATTTCGAAATATTATATACACGTTATTCATTTGCATCAAAGAGCAAACGTCCACGCACGGATTATACAAACTGCATTCGGAATCGACTCCATGAAGACCAGTAACATTAAAGAAGACGCTTGGTTCACCTCCAAGTAACTGCAGCATATCGTGCCAATCGTTTAAGGTTTGCAAGGGAGCATCTGGATTGGACTGTTCAAAACTGGGCTGTAGTGCTCTTTACCGATGTGTGCAAGATTACATTTTCCAATGACGATCGATGCATTAAAGTGTGGAGAAGATTTGGAGAACGGATTTTAGATCCCCGCATTCAATTAGATGCATGCATGAAACCGACCGTTTTGGTGGACCCAGTGTTATGGTCTACTGCAGTATAACCCTACAATGCAAAACTGAGCTCATAATTCGTAACGAGAGTACTGTGTCGACTCAAAGTTATGTTGAGAACGTGGCTTGTGCCACATTCTCAACATAACTTTGAGTCCTGCTCCTGGGGTTGTCCCCACATTATTCCATTCGCACAGCAAGCAGGACCAGGGTTCATCGTGATGCAGGATAATGCTCGACCGCATACGGCGCGACTAACAATGCACACATTAGCTGACGTTGGAATCGAGATGTTACAGTGGCCAGCTAGGAGTCCGGACCTGAATCCCATTCAGTATTTGTGGGATCAGTCAAAGAAAAGTGTAAGAGAAAGTGACACTCCCATCAACACGCAGCAGGATCTCATAAATGCTCTGAAAACATGCTAGGAGAGTATTCCAGAAGAAAATGTGCGGCGTTTAATCGAGAACATGTTTTCTCTAATAAAGGAGTGCATAGTGAAAACAGAAAGTCACTCACGATATTGAACAAAAAGCCTAGGAACCTTGAAAAACGTAATTTTTTCCAAACCTTTCATGTTTTATGAAACTTTAAACATTCCTTTACTTTATTATTCTTTTTTTAATTTCGTTTTTTTAATAAATGATTACGAATTAAGCACTGTTTTTGTCTAATTGTATCTTTAATTACCAATTTTAATTAATTTTATTCAGTGTTACTGGAAATATTTGGATGATATTTAATAAATCGATAAAATTTTGGTGGCCATTGTCTGGTATTTTGTTTTGAGTTGATTACATTACGACTTAATAATATCTCTAATATCATACTATTTAACTGCCTCCGTGGCCGAACGATTACCATGCCGGACTGCCACGCAGAGGTCCCAGGTTCGATTCCCGGGTCGGGAGAAATATTTGTATGGCCTGCATTTATTTGTCTCGTGAGTTTGGGTGTAATTTGTGGTTGTCTGTGTGTCCATGGCATCCGCGACACAGGGTTTTCTAGTGCGGGGTTATGTTGAGTGCGTTATTTTATTTATTTACAGTTCTATGTAATACTATTCTCAGTTTGTTTTCAAAAAAATGGAACATATGTCTGCAACATAAGTATCAATTGGCATCGATATTTTGTTATGCTCTTTTAATTGTCTTACTATTAAAATGTCTAATTTGCACTGTAAAGATTTTAATGATTAGCTCTAAGACTAATGAGTGACACAATATTAAGAAAGGTAACGTCATTTGACCTCAAATGTTTCAATATAGGTTTTAATATATTATGTACTGCCGTAATATTAATTTTATATAGTAGCACTCATAAATTAAGTTAATTTTGTTACAACATTTAACGTTAATTTGTTGATAATACTTACAATTTCCAAAATTTCCAATTAGAACAAAAAGTGCAAGCGCACACAACACATATTTTGCACCAATCATTTTTTTATCCGATTTAAATGTTTTCTATAGATCTGGGCCAACCATTATAATGAATGACACTGCGACATATATCCAAGCTAGAAATCTGATATAGTTTATATACAGTAGGCTATCTTTACCAGATTTACGATTATCCTCGGTTAGCGATAAAAGCGTATAGAGACAATGCAACACAAAAATAGATTCTTGTACCTAGCAGGTACTTAACTGTATTCTTGGCAACGGTTTGATCTATTGGTAATGTGGGTAATTTTCAACGTAATTAGCTAATGATACTATCCGAGGGAGTGTGTAAATCTTTGGTTTCTAGTTTTCACATACATGAAAAGATTGTGTCGATAATGCGTTGAAAATCAAGTATCGCAACTCGGTTGGTTTCGAGGTTTCTATAAATAATTTTAAATTTTCGTGTTGCATTGTACTAACATTTCAAAACAGGAATAATTAATTTTTACACTTGCCTTTTGTATCCCTACGTTTCCATCAGGTTGTGCTGGCCTTGGTCACGTCTAACTAGTGCTATGGTGGGTTACGTCTCCATCTCAGTGGAATGTGCAATTCTGCAAAAATTGTTCAAATAGCAAGGGTGGATCCCTTGCTATATTTTAAACAATTAAGCCACACACAACACTAGCGATGTCCTTATTCTATAGTCTGGTAAGCAGCCGACTGCTTCCCAGATCCGAATCTATCGCCATTTGATTATGAAGTTTTTCAAATATCGGATTCCATGCTGCAGATTACTTGAAACCTCCCCTCCCTACTAAAATTAGTCAGATTTCGAGATTTCTAGAGGAAATCTATCATTCTGTAACGGTGACTGACAATTAAACATTGGCACACCGTTACAACTTGGCCAAAGCACGACATTTTAGTTTAATTACATGGCTACAGATCCTTTAAACTTAAGTACAGTACCAAAATTCCTAAAACTTATGCAAAATTGTTCATAGTTTAAAAGCGTAACTCTAAGAATAAGTAATTAGGGGAAAAAAAGAAGAACAATTGTAATGTACTGTTTCTTCATAGTATCGACACGCGTGTTTGAAGTTTGCATTGATGGGCTGTGGATTTTGCAACGGGCTTATTTTCAAAAAACATTATTTTGTTTTGTTTTTGTGGAAAGTTACATTAATCGTTGCTTTCATGTCCAGACTCCATGGATGACTAGCGGACTGACTGGATTACTACACTAAGAAATGCTTACTAGACTTAGAGAAATTCAAAATTAGACTGAATTTAATTTGGACAATGACAACGAGGATAGTTCTAACTGAACCTTTGACGGGAGAAGTCGAAACCCTCCTACAATATTACAGATAGATAGTACAGTTGTAGAATAGGGTTTTTAAACTATGAGTGGAAAAATTGAAAATATGTAGCATCTATTGGCAGTATTGAAAATTGATGGACATTTACAGCCGAAATTATACTTGAACTTAAGCGAAAACGACGCGAACAGCGCATTAATGGCAAGGCGAAATTTGAAGATTGTATTTAAAAAAAATGCTACAAAAACAATATTAAAGTTGAAATTCATTCCTTCTTTATACATTTTTTACAAATTCTAAATCGATGGCTCTATTTTTAATTAGTTTTAGAATCTTTTAGTTCTTTTTTTTTGTTTTTTAACAGATCTTGTGTTAATTATTATGTTCTAGTATTATTTGTGAATAACCGAATAAATGTTTCTGTCTTTCTTTTCTTTATTTTAAATAGTGTCTTTTTAAGTACGAGTGCACAAAAAAAAACTAAGTAATGCGTGTTGTAAGATTTCAAAACTTTTTGACTTATTCACTGTATCAACAACCTAAGTATCGGCTTGAAAGGCTATATAATGAATTAGGCATTTTCAGTCATGCTGATACTTGCCTGTGTAACAAAATGGTTCATTACAGTAGGTACTTTATAGTTTGTGCGTGCGACAGACGTTACACACATACAAACCGCGCTGCTGCGTTTGCATGAAGTTACCTGCTGCTTGCATCGTATGATACATCCGTTAGTGTCATTCTCACATTGCAATTAATAACAACAGGACTAAAAAAATAATGAACCATAATAAAAATCTCGATTCAGTATCTTTAAGGATACATGTTGTAGTAGTAGAGCTCCTTATGAAGTACTGCCACCTTACCTATTTCTGCCGCCAAACAGTAATGTTAGCATTACTGCGTTCCGGTTTTGAAGAACTTAAAACTTAAAGGCACATTACAACTTATGTCTCAGTCTGGGCACAGTGGCAGTGCCCCTAAGATCTTTGTGATTAAAAGGTCTACGTGGCGCTACAACTGTTAAGGATAGGCGTGTTGCTTACCACTAGGCGCATGACTTGTTCGTCCCGTCACTTGGTATTATAAAAAAAATGTAACCAGTCATCATTTCTGCAAATGACCTTTAACCAAGAATTATCCTCGACGGCGGGAACAACTTTTAAATAGCCCACTCGGACATACCCAAATTTATGTCTCGTCGTCGTTTATTTTGTAGCAGCTACTCTTATAATACAAATAACGGATACGTAAAACGCCAAATACAATAATTCGTACCCTTGATATTTATATTATTATATTATTATTATAATAATAAACAAAATAAATAACGTTTTATTTTATTTTTATTTTCTTCATTTTAATTTACTTTTCATTTATATATTTTATCTTAGAGGGTATAAATATCTTATACACATAAAACTAAAATGACATTGGCAAGCAAACAGTTCCCCGCCGACAGAAATGTAATAGCTATGTTGAAAGTTAGCTAAAAAAGCATTGGTTACACAGTCCGTTTAGAAAAATAACAAAAAAAAAAAGTAAAAAAATTTGTATTGTAAGTGCTTTTATCACATGAAAATCATAAAAATAATACGAACTACATGAAACAAATTGTACGCGAAATTTTATAACTGTCCTATTTAAACATAAAACAATTCTTTACTAATTAAGTCGCAGAATCTTTACATTTATCCCTTCTAAAAAGTTATTTATGATAACTGTTCATATTAAAAACTAACCGCAATAAACATATAAAAATATAGGCGTATTTTGTCACCTAAAAACGGTCATTGTTTATCAAGATAATCGCGAGTTTATAGCTAAATCTTATCTTAGCACTTTAGATTTGTAAGGAATTTGCCGTCTATGGCTCGGAAACGCAAGTAGGGCAATTGAACTGCTATTTAATTAAATTCTATACATTTTCCTGTTACGTAGGTCACTCAATAAGTTTTGAGATAAAGAAAAAATATCAAACATATTAATATAATTTATTTTACATTTTTTTCAAAATACTCTCCATCATTATCTACACAAAGTTTCATTCGTCTAAACCAACCCTGAAAACACAAAGGTGTTGCCAGTCTTGATCCGTCAGCATTGAAATTGCCATTTCGTAGGCAGCTACTGCTTCTTCGACATTCAAAAAAAATTTATTTTATCCTTCACTGTTGGGAACAAAAAGAAATCGCAGGGAGCCAAGTCAGGGCTGTACGGCGGGTGATTTAAGGTTTCTATACCAGATTCCTCAATAAACGCCTTTGTTCTGAGGGACGTATGTGAAGAGGCGTTATCGTGATGTAGCATGATTCCCCGAAGCCCGGTCTTTGGTCTCCTCTCCCGCACAGCTTGGAAAACTTTTGGCAATGCTACTGTTGTGTACCATTCTGAATTAACAGACCTACTATTTTCTAACATTGACGTCGACAAATGTCCGCTCCGAGAAAAAAAACTAGCTACCATTTTTTTGCCGACGTTTCGAGGTCTTTGCAAGTTTGTCGGTAATTGTCCCTCTGCGAAGACCCACACCGACGACTACTTCTTGCTTTCTGGATCATATTGATAGATCCATGTTTCATCACCAGTAACGATTTCTGAAACACGTCTCGATATTCCGTTTTCGAAACGTATAAGCATTTCTCGGCACCAATCCACTCGAGCCTGTTTTTCAGCATCGGAGAGCAATCGTGGGATACATCGACAACAAAGCTTCCTCACTCCAAGATGTTGATGCAGGATAGTATTGACGCTTCCCGAACTAATGCCTAGGCTCTTCTCAATGTTCATGTACGTGATTCGTGGGTCTTCTCGCACCAACATTTCAGATGTCCACACATTTTCTGCAGTAACTGCTGTTTCCGGGCGTCCGCCTCTTAGGTCATCTTCAAGGTTAGTTTTGCCTCTTTTAAATTCCTTGAACCACCTAAAAACTATTGCAAAAAAAAAAAATATAATGCTGACTGCAAACGTTCCAAACTCAATTGTTCAGTTAAACCACATTTAAAATCATAGAAGATAGCACGCAAATGTGCACGGTTAAGATCCATTATTGTAAAGAAAAAGCGCGGGAAGCGTTGTAGTAAAATGACTAATAATGTCATTTTTTTTTAATTTAGCTAAATTGCTTTTGGTGATCTATTTTTAAATAAATTTGCTTTTTAAAAACATATAATACGGCTGCGTTCCATTTTTAAATTTCGAGCATCTCAAAACTTATTGAGTGCCCTACGTATAAATCGTTTGATTCGATTAAGACTAACTTTGTGAAAATTCATTCTTTTAACCGACTTGAAAAAAGGAGGAAATCTCAATTCGACTGTATTTTTGCGTCATTCAACTTCATTTCGTTATTGTTAAACTTCACGACGATTAGGTACTATTAAAATTATTTAGTAGAGTAGAGCTCCTTGTGAAAGAGTTCGTCCAGGGAAGTACTGCCTTATCTATTGCTGCCGCCAAGCAGTAATGTGAGCATTACTGCGTTCCGGTTTAGACGGGTAAGGAGGCTGGTGAAATTACAGACACATGGGACTTGTCAACTTATCACGGTGACGGGCGCAGCGGAAGTGCCCACAAGACCTTTGCGATTTAAAGCTCTGAATGGCACTGCAACTGTTATGGATAGGCGTGTCGTGGCACAATACTTGTTTGTCCCGTTACTTGGTATTATAAAAAAAAATGCTTTTTACACTTCTTTCAGATCAATTTATTGCATTATGAATGGCATTCGATAATTCTATTATCTTTTGAAATCTGTCTAATAAA